GAAACAAGTAACGATAAGCATCTGCCCAAGATGTATATTGAGCTGCAGTCTCATCATAGATCTCTTCAGTCCTTAAATTTGGACGATGCAAATCCTACAACTTGGATCTATCCTGTAGTGGAATCTAGTCTTCCCGATTAACCTTTACAAGTATAGCAAATAAAAACTGAAGCTCGTGCTGAACAACAGGTTTCTCTGGCAAAGAATGTGATTTCTCAATACTAAGGAATTACAGACATCTGTCCAAAGATGTCATGGAAGGATCAGCACAACAACTGAAGTCGAATGTGTGGTCCCTTTCTCATTTTCCTTCGTAAACCGTATCGAAGTACACGTCGATTGAAAAACAGCTGTAAGCGTATAGTGGAACGCATGGAATTTTAATTGTCATCTTCCGAATTGACCTCTGGCGATTGGATTTATAATTTGGAAATTGATATTGTGATTAGAAGTGATTATTGGAGAAAGATTACCGAAATTGTGGCTTTTGATATTCGATATTATTTTAGATGAGCTATGGAAATACCTTCGAGAAATTTACTTACAGTACTAGACAATGTATAGATTTTGGGTGCTCAATAGTAAATAAATGCAGTAGTAAATAATAAAGTTACAATCCAGTTTTCTTATTCAGCAGCAAAATAGCACGATCGTCGTAAGATTCTAACTCGTACATTCCATTTCGACATTTTAGAGCAATTTATGGAAACATTTGTGGAATAATCTAGGAAAATAATAAACAAATTGGAAGGTGAATGTGATAAGCCTTGGACGAATGTACTATTTTCGAGTAGGTATACGTTAAATTCAATATGCGGCAGGTACGTTCTTTTTAATTGTAGGCCTTTGAACTTCGTTTTTTATTTAAATAACCGCAATGGAATCTCGAATGGGCGCAGATGCATCAGGGGCTATATGCAAAAAGTGCAAAGATGAGCTTGGGTTCCTTTAAAAAAAAAGCAAAAAAGCGCGTTTCAGCAACAACGAACAACTAGCAATGCGTACGGTTTATTAAAATTTCATTACTGTGTTTTTGATCCGGTATTTCTCGAAAAGTTTTTATTTTCCCAATTTAAATATGGCGTGTCAAGGAAAGATAATTTTATTCATTTATGATTTCCGTGTCGTGAGTAAATTGAATGCTACACAATGTTGACTTCAATTGATTAATACATTTCTTGAGGAACATAAATCTTAGTAGCCAGTATATCAAATATGTATACATAGTACTTTATCATCTACATAAATATGTAATCTAAAGCTAAGGGCTGTTAAATATGAAAGTTAATTTGCATGGAAACAAATGTACCTACTCACATAAGAGGTTATCTGACAGACAAAGTGATAACATTAACAACCATCATATCTTTAATTTAATTAACAATAATCGCACACTCTTCCACCAACTTTTGCATGGGAAATTTACTGTATTTGCCTAGACTCTCCTCAAGAGTGTACCAATTGCAAAATTGCTTCGCTTCTGTAGTCACTATCACATGAAAACGGTTCAATCCCATAACGGTTTTCAGATGCGTTTAGAAATCTTATCCGCTGCTTATGATAAAATAAGCTATCTTTTGTCATAGATGTTTACCTTACAAAGGGTTGATTTTGACTATCTTCTCCAGTTCGTGGCATATAAATTCTTCTTGTAATTTCTTCGTCTTGATAATATGTTGCTGAAATACTTTTAGAACTTACCTTTTTAGTACTTTTACTTCCATCTAACTCACCAGATAAAAATAGTTTAAGAAAATTAAAGAATATGGTTCATTTCTTTTTCGCTGATATCTCATTAATCTTCAATAAAGTGATCATCATCATTTGGGAGAAATATTATTAATTCAAATGGTACTCCAATATGTTTTGGATAGTTTTGTTATGTAATTCTCATGTAGGCCTCTCTTTGATATCTAAATAAGGAAATTCCGCCAAACACGGAACCGTTAATACACTAGTAAAGAAAAAACACAAACGATTCAAACCAACAGGAAGACATTCTTGACAAAGACGAAGTGTCAGCAGTTCCTAACTATATTAAACTGGGTTATTAAGGAAGCGATTCTGTGATATAAATAGCATGTAGTTGTTACAATAAATATTCAGTTCTCAACTGTCAAAGTGTGTAACTATTAGGTGTGAAGTACCAAGTTACTGAAATACGGGATAATCCCCGACCGAAATTTTATCTTGTATAAGATTCGCTTGCGAGATCTAAGGATTTACGACCCTGGATGGGCGTACATTTTGCACACATGGTATTTTAGCAGCAATTTCATCTCAGTAACCCTCCGCATCTCTGAAAATCGCTCCAATTGTTGTAAATTTATTAAAAACGATGAAAATTTCACAACACACTGCTTGTAATACTGAAAGATTCATTCTGGCTCAATTATATGTCCTACAATTCCTATTTTTTATGCTAAAAGCTGTTGAAACATTTTCTAACGCCAATTATGCCAAAGGCGTCGACTGATACTTGATCTGAGGACACGCTACCGAATAAATTTAAATGAACCAATGAGCGCTCAGTTACCTTTCGATCAACTTAATCAGCTAAGTCTATCCCAAAACGACTACAAGGTTTGGCAATTGACTCTTGTGCTCTAGTCCAATTAATTCGCATAATTGAAATAATAAGAAAAAAAATGCTTCAATAGATACAACAATAAATAATATCCTCTTGCGTAGATTGATTGATTGTCTTATGGGGTTTCTTTACGGTTCGATTTCAAAGATTCCCATTCCGATTTTAGTTTGTAAAAAATTGTTCCTCAATGCACCGATTATAAATCTGTTGAATCCGAATAAAAACTGTACAGTTCAATTATTACCTCGAAGTCATTCTTTAACACGCTGTTTTAGAGATTAATTTTGTATTCATTCAAGCTGTAAGAAGCCGTAATTAATTTCTTCTGCCCAAATGGATTGGCTAATATAAGGCTCTCTTTTGCAATTTTTCAAACACTTTATTAATTAAAATTCGTCTACAAAGAGATGTTGACATTGTGATTTATTCGCAATCCTTTCACATAGATTTTCATCTGTAATATAATAAGTTTTTATGTTTCTATATCCAAAATTCTGAGTATGTACAGTACTTATGGTTGATATACAAAGAAATGAACCAATCCGTGATTCAGTATTTAGAAAACTTACGAAATCTAGCATGCCGTGCGCTTGCGGCGCTCTGGTACAGACGCCGTAGCAAGCGGTGGTGGCGTGGTTCTCTTCGATGTCGGGGCGATGTAAGGGATATGATTCTGGGTGGAGGCGTCGGTGCTGCAGGGTGTTGAGTGTAGAAAATTATGGACAGGACGTCTTCCTCTGTCTTAGTTACGTACGATTTTTCCTAAATTCGCTGTACACTTTGAAATTCCCCCAATCAAGAATGATCGCAAACTATATAATTACTTAATCATAAAACAACTTTCCACAATGAAATTCATATTTCGAGCAAAAATTCGCACGCATAGGGCCAAGTACAAGTAAAACAGATAATGCAACCCTTACCTCGCATAAAGTTAATCCGTTGACGTCAAGAAGTGAGCTCAGTTCTCGCATCCAAGCCTGAAATCAATCAAAAGAAAGCCTCCCGAGCTCGGTATATAAGTAGTTGACTAACGCCTGAAGGGCTTCGCTCTACTCGTAATCTGATGCTATGCCAGGTATGGTACTTAATTGGTCAACCGCGTCATAAGGAAATGTTGATCTTCAACAACATACGCGTTTCAAACTGGATCATAACTTAATCGAGATGTCACAGATTCTTGGTAGGTACTGAACTTCACAAAATACTTGAATGTAATCGCATATAACCCAGAAGGGGCAAAATAGTTACTCACTAAGACGCTAAAGAGTTACGGTGTTGAAGATCGAATCTTGATATTAAATCTTCTTCATGACCCGTTGACCTACCTATTTCACAGCAAAAAAAAAAAAATACAAATATCAGTCGAGCGATAACAGAGAAAGAACGCAATTATCCCTCATTATAGCTGAATCCATCCTAATTACAGCGGAATCCCCAATTCAATGAATCCAATCGCCAGAGATTAATAAATATGGATGATGGCAATTAAAATTCCATGCGTTCTGACTTACGCTTCAGCTATTTGTTTAAGCGAAGTGTAACTCGATGCGGTTCTCGACACAAAGAGGAAAATGAAAGTGGACAATCGACAACCCTGCGCGGTAAAATTCCGTTGTTAAGTTCCAACAATAGAGGGAGCCCTCTATTGAAAAGTTACGAGTTATGTGCGGAAGGTTGAAGCTCTTGGAAGGTAGTGACGCCTAATGCGATGTGGTGGTAGTAGTTCAAGTCTGGTAGGCTGACTGTTGAGTCGGCGCACTGTCGAATCCCCGAAGCGAGCTCCTCTCTTACGAAGCTCTTATGTTCGTCGACCCGGAATCCAAGAGGGCTGCCGTATCCGTGCCATCCGCGTAGATTAGCAGCGCTAGGAGGTTAGGTTCGGCTCTGGAATGGATTAGTTGGACGATCGGGTGTTCCGTTGGAAATGATGCTCCGGATAATAGTGACACTTCGGAGTGTTTGCTGGTCGTTCGGATGCTACGGGTGGGGATGGGATGTCGTGAGGGTACGCTTTATAGTCGTCTTCAATACTACGAGATGAGCCAGGGCAGTAAGGGTTGTTGCTTCCGCGTTCCTCAAGAAAGGCCGGGTGCAGGGGATGTTGATGTGGTCGCTGATCGTGATGCTTCGCTATTTGCGTCTTCCCCTGGAGAAAGACTCAATGGGGGTGTCTCAACCTCTACTTGTCCATCGGTAACAATACCTTGACTGGGTGCCATATGCCTAAACTGTTAACCAGTGGTAGGTACTATTTGGAAGTTCTAAAAATATCGACTTTTACTCATCTCGTAAAAATACCCATTGGACAACCATGTTGCAACACTGCTCATTAGTTCTGTGTGATCTTTATCTGTTTGGGAGGGCGCAAAGGTTAAAAGTCAGAAAAAAGATAAACTCGTCTTCACTGTATAGAAGGTAAATTCAGTGTTTAAACTACTTGTGAACCATGGTTACTGCTCTGACACTAATTATACTCGTTGTCTTAATTGTATTTGTCGTTTATAAATATTTGGTAAATCGTAGGCGCAATGCTTTACTTAGTGAAATTCCTGCTTTACCAAACTTCCCCATAATAGGGGCGATGATGAATTTTCTGAAGCCGCCAGGTATAGTTTATTTACATATCTTTTTTTTCCTGATGATTATTTACTTGTTCAGAATTAACGTTTAACACTTTGAAGGTTTTAGACCGGCAAAAATACGACAATATCATCCGTCCTAAGGTTACAGTTGTTTTGAAAACAACAACAAAAACAACACCGTAGAATTTGAGCAAGGTTCATTGCATACTTGTTGTGTCACTGAAAGTCGTTTCCACGGTAAATTCTATTTAGAATTTTTTTCAACCCAGACAAGTCTTGCACCCACGAAGGCTTAGTTGCACAACTCTCTTCAGTTTTGAACTTTAATTGTACACATTTTACAAATTGAAAGGTCAAGCTTGCATTTTGTAATATAATTATCCCTAATTATTAATTAATCTTCAGTCTTTAGTAGTCTGCCCAAAAGGTTTTGATAATTTTTCACCATTTTCTTCGATTTGGGATCTCAGGAAACCCATCAGCATTTTTGTAAAGATTCGATATGCTTTCAGAGAAGATATGGAAATATTTACGAGAAATTGGCTTGCAGTACTACCCAATCTACAGATTTTCGGTGCTAAATGTTGACGTTGTAAATATTCTAAGTCCGGAGGACATAGAAGTATGTAACCCTTGTTTTTCGATTAGTAGATACCTTGTTATCTTGTAGATAATATTATCGTCAATTAAACATACTACCAAGAGTATGCTCTACGACATGTTGCACAGCTGGCTTGGAGGAGGACTGTTGACAAGTTATGGTAAGTTACTTGAACACTGTTTGAACAACTTTACTTACTTTGGTTGGCTAGGGGCAAAGTGGCATAATCGCCGTAAGATATTAACGCCCACATTTCACTTCCACATTCTCGAACAATTTATAGATACGTTCGTAGAACAATCTGCGAAAATTGTGAATAAATTAGAGGCCGAATGTGATAAGCCTTGGACCAACGTGGTTCCTCTCGTTTCCGAATATACACTAAACTCGATATGCGGTACGTTGTTTCTAGTGTTCCTTTTCTAAGGTCTTTAATTTAGAAACCGCAATGGGAACTCCAATGGATGAAGAAAGTAGCACATGCAAGCGGTATGTGCAAAAGGTGCACAGGTGAGCTACAATGTTTGTTACCCGTGATAAAACTGATTTCAGGATCGGTGAAATTTATTTACACATCATTACGCATCCGTGGTGTGACTTTTTACTTACATTTGTATTCACTCCGACATTCTGGGAGTTGCGAAGGTTGGTAAAGGAGCTTCATGCTTTCTCTTCGTCAGTAATTCAAAAACGAAAGGCAACCTTTAAAAGGTCGGATACAAAGTCAGAAACTCCATCAAAGAGAAGACAAGCGATGCTCGATCTGTTAATTTCTGCCATGAACTCCGGAGAACCCATCGATGACCAAGGAATACAAGAGGAAGTTGACACTTTTATATTTGAGGTACATACTGATGACTTTGTCATTCTCCACCGGAAAAATAACGGATAGTAATTTCTAAATTTTGTTCGGTAGGGCCACGACACAACTTCGGCATGTATTTCCTTAACGCTCCTAATGTTGGCCTGTCACGGTGACGTTCAAGTAAGTTTTGTACTGATTACGCATCCTTCAAGGCTTTCATCTACTGTTGCAGCAAAAAGTTGTTGAAGAAATACAACAAGTGTTTGGAAACAGTGATCGACATCCCACACACCAAGATTTATCCAACTTACGTTACCTGGAACAAGTATTAAAGGAATCCCTGAGAATGTATCCCAGCGTACCGCTAATTTCCAGGTTATCAGACGAAGAGGTAAAAATGAATTCTGGATACACAATCCCGGCAAAAAGTATAGTTCACATTCACATCTACGACTTACATCACAATCCCACCCTCTACCCGGACCCGTATAAGTTTGATCCAGAGAGGTTTACTGTGGAAAATTCGAAGAATCGCCACCCGTTTGCATATATCCCATTTAGCGCTGGACCACGTAATTGCATAGGTAAAGAGATGTGCAAATCGGAATGATGCAAGCCGTAGTTTTTTCCAGGTCAGCGGTATGCATTCCTGGAGATCAAAATTGTCATAGTAGAAATTTTGAAGAGATTTGTATTGGAAGCAGTTGATTTACCCGAAAATATTACACTACTGGTGAATCTAGTATTACGTGTTAAAAATGGTTTGAGAGTTAAATTTAAAAAGCGATAGCTCTTTATAAGTGTCGTAGTCCTGGGAGATCGCAAGCAAAATATCTTTCTGATCACTACTGGCACAAATAAATAAAATAAAAAATAAATAAAATAAATAAATATGTATTTCACTAATTGTTCACTTAAACATAACCCGTTACCCGACAACTGCAAGGGTGTAACGTAAATTTAATTATGTAGTGTTAAAGTCTTAAAATGGATTAATTTATAACAGTAATTATTTTTTATCACTTAAAATTTATTACATAACAAGCGCTGTAACGGCTAAATGCGACCGAAAGTATAGTAGGGATTTTTGGTTACGTATAGGGAATGCAATCCCGCAGCAAAATCTCAATCCCGGTATTTGCGGGAATTGTTAGATGTTAATCCCGCGGGATCCCGGTATTTGCGGGATTCCGCAAAACTTTAAATAAATTGCCAAATAAGCAATTCTGTGCGGTTAACTTCTGTATTAAAATAAATAGCTAATTATCACAATATTTAACAAAAAAGTACCTTCAGCCTAACTAAGAGCTCAAAAAAAACCTCACCTGTAAAGCACAAAAAGGTGAACTTCTAAAGTGCCTCAAAAATCATAGTATATTTCAACGAAAAAAGTTTAACAATTATTTAAAAAATAACAGAGTCGTCCCCTTGGTCGACAAATTCCTCAGTCCCGCAAATCCCGCGGGATCCCGCTCCATTTATGTGCGGGACTAATCCCGCTAAAATACTGCGCGATCCCGGTATTTCGGGATCCCGCGATCTCGGTATTGCATTCCCTAGTCTCAGATCGACCGAGAAAAAACATTTTTTTATAGAATGCGGCCTGTAGAATCCATAATTTCATACAGTTCCAAGATTGAGCTACTAGTTCAAAAGTTACAGCCCTTTGAATTTTTTTTCGACATGGTTTCTAGTCCATAACTTTTGATTGAGAAGTCTAATCGAAAAAGTACGAATTGTTTTGGATTCTACGCACCAAAATTAATACGAATAAGTGTTTCCCCAAGAAATTTTGGTGTAGTCGATTTTTGATAAAAAAGGAAGGTTATACACTGCCTTTTTTTTGCCCCGAAAACAAAATTGTCTCAGATCGACCGTGAAAAAAAATTTTCTTATAGAATGTAGCCTGTAGAATCCATAATTTCAAATAGTTCCAAGATTGGGCTACTAGTTCAAAAGTTACAGCCTTTTGAATTTTCTTTCGAAATTGGTTTCTGGTCTAACTTTTTTGATTGAGAATTTTAATCGAAAAAGTACGAATTATTTTGGATTCTACGCACCAAACTTAATACGAAAAAGTGTTTCCCCGAGAAATTTTGGTGTAGTCAATTTTTGATAAAAAAGGAAGGTTATACACTGCCTTTTTTTTGCCCCGAAAACAAAATTGTCTCAGATCGACCGTGAAAAAACATTTTCTTATAGAATGTGGCCTGTAGAATCCATAATTTCAAACAGTTCCAAGATTGTGCTACTAGTTCAAAAGTTACAGCTTTTTGAATTTTATTTCGAAATTGGTTTCTAGTCTATGTAGCCTTTCTCACAGATATCACGACCTTACTACATAGCTGCCGTAAACCAATCTACGATGTCATCATTGATTATGTAAGAGCAATTAGACTAAAACTGTAACTTTATGTGCGTCCATAGTATTGTAACCGTTACATTCATCAGTGTCCATATCCTTACATGTATTTGAACCTTCCGTGGCCATCCTATGTGTGCTACAAAGTCGCACTGATCGGCCCCTGTGCGTGAAATGTTAAAACCACTGTCTATCCCTAGTTTGAGGTAACTTAACTACATAGTAGGCAAAATGGGCATGACCCCGAAAAGCCTTTATATAATAAAAAAAAAGACTTTTGATTGAGAAGCCTAATCGAAAAGGTACGAATTGTTTTGGATTCTACGCACCAAAATTATTACGAAAAAGTGTTTTCTCGAGAAATTTTGGTGTAGTCGATTTTTGGTAAAAAAGGAAGGTTATACACTGCCTTTTTTTTGCCCCGAAAAAAAATTGTCTCAGATAGGGAATGCAATCACGCAGCAAAATCTCAATCCCGGTATTTGCGGGATTGTTAGATGTTAATCCCGCGGGATCCCGGTATTTGCCGGATCCCGCAAAACTTTAAATAAATTGCCAAATAAGCAATTCTGTGCGGTTAACTTCTGTATTAAAATAAATCGCTAATTATCACAATATTTAACAAAAAAGTACCTTCAGCCTAACTTAGAGCTCAAAAAAACCTCACCTGTAAAGCACAAAAGGGTGCCTCAAAAATCATAATACATTTTAACGAAAAAAGTTTAACAATTATTTAAAAAATAACTTCTCCGTTATGCGTTTGATTAACAAAGTAAACAGAGTCGTCCCCTTGGTCGACAAATTCCTTAGTCTCGCAAATCCCGCGGGATCCCGCTCCATTTATGTGCGCGATTAATCCCGCAAAAATGCTGCCGGATCCCGGTATTTCGGGATGCCGCGATCACGGTATTGCATTCCCTAGTTAACGTAGGAGTCTTGGCGTATTACCATTATCGATTTTTGCCTTCGTGAATTTTCGGAGTTCAACGATTCAATACCTTCTGGTAGAGAACGTGGCGATTAACCTTCCTAGTACCAGGTGGGGTGAATCGTCTTAGGGTCTTATTTTTTTTATATTCTTCTTTTAACAACAAAAATTTATTCGATTGCATAAAAAACTTCCAAGAAATTTGGGAAATTGGAGATGAAAACACGACAAGGGTTAGGATTCACCCCACGCGGTGACCCGCGTTTCACAATTTTACAATGTGCAATTTTGTCTGGAATTCCTTTACTGCCACTGCGGAAATCGTATATTAGATCAGAAACTTTGAGTTCTCGTGATGCGGAAATTACTGCAAAAGTTTCCAATGTACCTCGGAAAAAGTATGTGCTCCAGAAGAGACCAAGGTAAACGAGTGGTGCTAGAATTGGTTTCGGGTTACAGCGTCACCACTTAAGAAAAGTATGGTGTGAAAATTTACCCCACGTGCTATTGGAACGATTTAAAAACAACCTGGTACTAAAAAGGTTAATTAATTTTTCGTGAGCACTTGATGTTTCTAATGTAAATCGGTCAGATATCGGGACATCCCTTTTGGTTGGTTTGCAGAAAACAGTTGGGGATTATCCGTATAAGCCGTTTATCGGGAGATTGACCTTTTCTCTATAAATTGAGTGTAATTCTATGACATACATTTGTGGTTTGTGGGATGTAACATATTCAGGCTGTACGAATATTTAGGTTGTTGCAACATACTAAGGTCTAATCTGTATTTTGCTATATATACATTTATTCGTGTTTCAATTTTGTGTTGCGTACTGGGCTGTGTTACGCAGTGGTAGCAGATATAAACTTCTCTGCTACTCGGTATAGGAATTTGTGCCGAGATCATAGAATGGGTAAGTGGGGTAATTTGATATTTGATTGTATTTTATACTTGATTCGAATATATCGAGCAATTTGTGTTGGAATTGCTACATTTAGTATTATTGTTATTTACTATCCTGGGAGTTCATGTCTACTGAAAATATAGAAATAGTGTTTGATTGTTGATATTTGTGTGGCTCCCTTTGAAACTGAAATAAGAAATTTATTTCCTTTGCCTTAGTCAACAAGAAGGTTGTAGTAGGTTCTGGCCAACGTGGAATCCATCTCGTCTCCACTGAGCTAAATACAGGGGTGTGTTGTTGAACACCTAGATATAAAGAGGCGACATCGAGGGAGCATAAGGTAGAGTGGTAGCGCCAATGAATTTATTTGTAGTTTCCTTCTACTTCGGTTATGAGCCAAGTTGGCGTTGCACCGTATCTAAGTTGGAACTAAACTCTAAACACAGATCGGCTTGCTTATACAGGGTGTTTTTTGGGAGTTTTAGTTAAAAGTTTCTGGGAAAGTAAAATAGGTAGGTTTTTGAAAATTTGTACTTAGGCATTAATCTGAAGGTCGAATCGATGTAAAATATTTTCAAAATGGTCGCACTTCCGCAAACACCGAAAGTAGATAATAACTTCTTTATTTTAAATGGCAACCCCTATTTTTTATTGCATTTTTGGATTCTACGTGAAATTTCACTTCTTTTGATACCCAGATGTCGTATCTACCATTTATGGTTTTTAAGTTATTTTCACTTTAAGAAAAAAAATGGCGGATGCAGATGGTACCTTGATAATTGATTACTTGAAAACGGTTATAGTCATGGCAACCTCTTTTTATCAGTGCATAGAGAATGAATAGGGCTTTCTTTTAGTGCACTTAAAAAAAGTTAAGTTGCGTACGACCGCCCCTATGGATATCCAAATTTATGAAACTTCAAAGACTAAAAACTCAGTTTTTTTAAATGGAATGATAATGTTCTTACTATTCCATGAGATAGAGAATCGAAATGGGCATATTTTGACATAATGTTCCTATAGCTATCTTTAACAGTTTCTGACTTATTCCCATTTTATTGAATTGACACTACTTTTTTCGGATTTTCTTTTTAGTAGTCGGCCATGATTCTATAACAATTGAATTTTAAACAAATCTAGTGACACTAATCCGTCACCTACTGTTATAGGTTAACATAGTTTTTCAAAAATCGAAAAATGACTCGCAGTGGTTTCACCTTTTTTGGAATTTAATTGTTATTTATGGTGAAATGGGCAGAATCGCGGCGCGTGCTTTCCGTACATTCATTCGAAAACTGGAACGAAATTGTATGAATTTTGGAAATTTTGTACCCCTAATGCACTACAAACCGTTGAAGCACAAGTTATACAAAGTTCTACAAGAGAATATTTAAGAAAATGAATTGAATTGCAAATGCAAGATTAACAAAATAAATTCAATGCAAAATATAAAAAACTTCGTTGAAACATTTTTGGTATTGAATTGTTGCTAGAACAGACCTCTCTTAATTTCCAGACTTATACGTTGTTTAAGAAATGCAGTTGAACGACTCTGTTCAGATTTTTTTAAAATTTTCCGTCCTATATCCTTAATAAATGAGTTATTTCTTAATGAATTATTTACACTAGAACTAGAATCAATGGTATTAAAGAATCCATTCCTTGATTTGTTTAAAATTCGATTGTTATAAAATCATGGCCAACTACTAAAAAGAAAATGCGAAAAAAAATGGCATCAATTCCGAGATCAATTCAATGAAATGGGAATAAATCAGAAACTGTTAAAGATAGCTATAGGAACATGTAATATCAAAATATGCCCATTTCGATTCTCTATCTCATGCAATATTAAGAACATGGTCATTCCATTTAAAAAAACTGAGTTTATAGACTTTGAAGTTTCTTAAATTTGGATCTCCATAGGTGCGGTTGTACGCAACTTAACTTTTTTTTAAGTACACTAAAAGAAAGCCCTATTCATTCTCTATGCACTGATAAAAATGGGTTGCCATGACTATAACCTTTTTCAAGTAATCAATTATCAAGGTACCATCTGCATCCGCCATTTTTTTTTCTTAAAGTCAAAATAACTTAAAAACCATAAATGGCAGATATCGACATATGGGTATCAAAAGAACTGAAATTTCACGTAGAATCCAAAAATGCAATAAAAAATAGGGGTTGCCATTTAAAATAACGAAAGTTACTATCTACTTCCGGTGTTTCCTGGAAGTGCGGACATTTTGAAAATATTTTACATAGATTCGGCCTTCAGAGTAACTCCTAAGTACAAATTTTCAAAAACCTACGTATTTTACTTTCCCAGAAACGTTTAACTAAAGCTCCCAAAAAACACCCTGTATAGCAAATAACGTTCTTTCTAGAATGTTCCCTAGTGCCCAAGGATGCTTCAGGATGCTCTCGAACAAACACATAATATTTATCGGAAAGTTTACGTCACACCCGGCTTCATTCTTGATCGCCGATGACTAATATTTCATGGCGCCTCTATATCTGTCGGGATTTCTGGAATGTTAGATACAATATAATTACCTGGCTTTTATACATTTATTGAGCACACATTATACAAAGAACCATTTCATTTGTTCATTTGTTGGCTACTGTGAAAGCTAAATTCTTCATAGGGAGATTGATTTACTGCTTGTTATTGCGAGGGTTTTGCTGCTTGTAGGTACCTCGAAAGACATCTCCACCGAGCTGGATTGCGAAGGGAAGACAGCGAGAAGTAAAATTTTCATAACAAGTGTACAGGTTACAACAGTAAATCCCCAAACTTTCGTGGTTATATTTTTTATTGAATTTACAACCTCATTATACATTTACAGCTAAGTATCCTTATACCATAATAGGTATTGTCGCATAATATAACCAAAAATTGAAATACTAACTAAACTTACGGTCTTATTAGTGGTAGTTCCTATGTGTATTGGGACATTTTAGTAAATAAAACTAAAAAATGAAATTGAGTTTGATTACTAGACATTTATAAATCTCTTTTTCGAAATTTTATTCTAATCCCATCACGTGATTTTAAAATCAAATGCATAACCAGGGGTAGTTTGTCAAAGGAATCCACTGGTTCCAGACGAAATTTTCTCAAAATTGACGACACCATGACTTTCACCTCCAAGAAGGCAAACCTTTGCCCTAAAAAACGCTGGTGACTACATTAGACTACGTAAATGCGTTTACCTATGCAATTTCTGGGTCCTGCACTAAAGGGGATGTACGCAAATGGATGTCGATGCTTGCTGTTCTCATTTGAAAACCTTTCAGGATCGAATTGTTCAGGATTTGGAAATACCTCGGGATTTCGGTGTAATTCAAAAATATGCATAAAACAAATGGTGCCTTTTGGTATAGTGTAGCCTGAGGGTAACTCGATGTCTTCCTCTGACGACCTTGATATTATAGGTACGCTTGGGCATATCCTTAGAGTTTCTTTTATTACTTTCTCTAGGTAGGTCATGCTCTGTAGATCATCAACTGTTGCTAGTCGGTCCGAGTTATCAAATATAGCATCCAGTTCTTCAACTATTTTGTCCTAAGCGTTACGAACGGTTATGGCGTTTCAGTTAGCGAAACTCACTACGTACCTGAACTTCAGCGTGATTGGCGATCATTAATAATGTAAAGCTTATGCAAGAGGTCGTCGTATCATGGCCCTAGGCAATACGTTAACATCAGTAACAGTTATCAACAAATATCATAATAACCTCAAACATAAATGTATCCACCTCTTCTCTGATACCATCGTCATCTATGTCATTCCTAGAAAGCTGCGCAGAGATCAGCATATCTAGCAGTGCTAAACGCTTCTTAGACTTAAGATTAACGTTGATCCCGCTAAAGGTCCGTTTTCTGTCTTGAATGACTTTACGAGAAAAAGTGTGCATAATTTTTAACAGCTTCTCCTGTCGATAATAGTTCCCAGAAAGGAAAAATGTTATTGCGTATTGTAACCAAGGGCACGCAATTCTTTGGATTACAACTTCGCCCATTCTGAAAAATGTAATTGTTTCGTTACATTTGACCCTTGGACATTGACAGAATTAAGGTTGCTCTCAAAATGATGATGGTAAGGTGGGCGCTGAGGACCAGAGCACAAGCTGAATTTAAAACTCAAACTGATTCTGAGACAATTGCTCTTCTTTGATAGGTGCATAACTAAACTAAACTCTTCCACAAATATATCCGTAAGTTATGAAAGGCAAAGACATATCTTCGCTTGCTGTACCCTTATAGCGCTATCTTCTTAGAGGATATGTACATACCTATAAATAGCATCAATATATTGCTTGGATTGTTCCTCATTTGTTTTTAGCTGGGTGCCCATTGCTGTTTCTAAAACAATACAGTTTTACAGGTTGATTACCCCGGATTTTTGTCTACCACAAATAGTATGCAACGTGAAGTCAGTAATAACAGGTACTATATTAATTGGTTGCTCTTTGGAGGCGGCTTCAAATTTTTGCACAAGTAATGTCGAATAATCGTTAAATATGTTTAAAAATTCTCGCAGAATGCCAAAGTGAAGCGCTGGTGTCAGAATTTGTCGCCTTTCCTTCCATTTGGTGCCTAAAATGTCATATTTTTGTTAAATTCAACTTACAATCAATTGCCGTGGAAAATAGTGACGGGCAATCATCTGTGCGGAAGTTATCCGTCAGACAAATGTTGAAAGTCTCCTTAAACCAAAGTGCTAAACATTATTTAAATCTCAACATTCATTTCAGCTTAGTGTTTCAATGTACTGTATCTAAGTCAAGATATATAATCAATGCAATATAATAAAAGAAACGTTTACGGAATCCCCCTCAAATTAATATTCTAATGGCTTAAGTGATGCTTCTAAGAGTGATAGCACCAAGAAACAAGAGTGCTTCACTTGGAGCTATCAGAGAGCGTAGGCACCTACCCTACTCCAGTGCCATTACGATCTTTCTCACGTAACTGGGTTATTTTTGGTACCATTTAAACTTTATATGCACAGCTAAATATTCTTGTACGAATTTCTAGAGCCGTTTAGGTTCCATCTTTCCATTCTTGAGACACGTCACTCTCTCTGTCTTCCCTCTTTTACTTCGACTTTAAAACGAAGGCTTCAAATTAAAGTCAAAATTTCTGGATTGAAATGGAAATTTCAATTTTAATTAATAAATAATTTGTAGGGAGCCTTTATGCGTCCTCGTACATCGGAATTTTACATTGCCATATGCTTTCCCGAGCTTTTTGCCAGTGTTTTAAAAGTTCTTCTGAACGAAAAGGAAAGCGATTATAACTAAAATAATGTTGGATTTTCTCAATGTTAGTTTTTCGCACATCGTAATCATGGAGTTCTAATTATTAATGAGCTTTCTGATCATTCGATAGCTTTAAAATTAAACACTTGGGAAATACAATTTTCCAAAGGTAACAGTACCAAAAGTTAAAAAAATCATCAAAGTCCAGCTGCCAGCAGCCAAGTGGTTATAATGAGATGAAAACTATCTTTTTATAAATAAATTTGCAAAAATGTGCTAAAAACAACACGACGCAATAACGATTCTCACAAAATTATAATATAATAATAAAATAATAAATATAAATGGAGCACCATGTATATTTTTCTGTCATATTTTAGCTGCTCCAAAAATGTTCAACTTTTGATAACAATGTCCTATACCTATCTCTGATAGTTTTCAAAATATCTTGGTTTTCCCCCTTTTTTATATTCTAATCTTAAATAAGTTATAATATGTAATGTACATAATAAAGAGGTGGTCATGCAATTTTTATCTGCCGTGTCCGAAACGAACATCATATCGATTAATTCAGTCTAAAAAGTGAAGAATAAATTAGATAATGGATGCAGATATTATTGAAAAATTATATTGTAACGTGATTTATAAATTCGGGTTCGATTTATATCAATATTTATTAAACAAAACTAAAACAGTATAAAAACCGTACAATTTATATCGATTATTTATATCACACACTTCGTAATTTATATTTCCGCGCTCGATGTTTCATACGTACTCGATCTCGTTCGATAGTAGACTGCTGCGATGTTCGGTCCGCAACCATTTATACACGCAACAATGTAAGTCCCGAACATCCGCGTACATTCTCGAATATTCCTACACAAACCCCACTATCGCGCGCGTAGAAAATTCCAGAGCGCCAAAGGCGACGTCATGTCTGGAGCATTTCCGTTGCAATATGATAATTCCTAGGTAAAATGGGTTTCTTCAATAATACCTGCATCCATTATGGAACTCAGGCAATGAAGAAAGCTAAATGTATAATAAATTTGAGAGTAAAAACATAAACAAATATCTTGGTTTTCCTAGTTTTTATTTTTTAATCTTAAATAAGTTATAATTTACATAATAATAACGATTTGTGAATATGAAAAAAAATGAAACTAATGTCACTGACTGGAAGACATTAGGAGTTAAATTAAACTTGTTTTGTAGTCAAATGTTTTTAGCTGAGAAAATTTTTTTTTCGGGGCAAAAAAAAAGGCAGTGTATAATAACCTTCCTTTTTTACCAAAAATCGACTACACCAAAATTTCTCGGGAAAACACTTTTTCGTATTAATTTTGGTGCGTAGAATCCCAAACAATTCGTACTTTTTCGATTAGACTTCTCAATCAAAAGTTATAGACTAGAAACCAATTTCGAAAGAAAATTCAAAAGGCTGTAACTTTTGAACTAGTAGTCCAATCTTGGAACTGTTTGAAATTATGAATTCTACAGGCCACATTCTATAAGGAAATGTCTTTTCCCGGTCGATCTGAGACAATTTTTTTTTCGGAGCAAAAAAAGGCAGTGTATAACCTTCCTTTTTTATCAAAAATGTGCGTATAATCCAAAACAATTCGTACTTTTTCGATTAGACTTCTCAATCAAAAGTTATACACTAGAAAAAATTTCGAAAAAAAATTCAAAAAACTGTAACTTTTGAACTAGTAGCCCAATCTTGGAACTGTTTAAAATTATGGATTCTACAGGCCACATTCTATAAGGAAATGTCTTTTCCCGGTCGATCTGAGACAATTTTTTTGTCCGGGCAAAAAAAAGGCAGTGTATAACCTTCCTTTTTTACCTACCAAAAATCGACTACACCAAAATTTCTCGGGAAAACACTTTTTCGTATTAATTTTGGTGCGTAGAATCCCAAACAATTCGTACTTTTTCGATTAGACTTCTCAATCAAAAATTATAGACTAGAAAAAAATTTCGAAAAAAAATTCAAAAAACTGTAACTTTTGAACTAGTAGCCCAATCTTGGAACTGTTTAAAATTATGGATTCTACAGGCCACGTTCTATAAGAAAATGTTTTTTCCCGGTCGATCTGAGAATAGGTCTCGGTATTTCGGGACCCCGCGATCCCGGTATTGCATTCCCTAGTTTTTACTTATTCTCGTTTTTTTTTTAAATTTTAAAACGCTATAAATAAGAAGTAACGATTAACACGAATAAATTAGGCGTAAGACCTTTGTTGTCGTTGCCTTTTCCTGAAAAAAAAAAATAAAAAATAAGCTCGAAAAAAGTTAATCGATATGATTTTCGTTTTAAAATTACCTTTTTTTGCATGAACACCGCGTTATTGGGTAAATTACAGAGTTATTTAAGATTAGAATATAAAAACCAGAATATTTCGAAAACCATCCGAAATAGGTATTGATCTTTATTTTCAAAGGTTTAACGTTTTTGGTTGAGCTAAAAGATAACACAGAAATATGCAGAGTGTTCTATTAAAAAAATGAGATTTTTTAGTATGAAGTTTTGTAACTTTGGACCTACAAAAAAACACCCTGTACACTATTTTTTAATGTTTCATAGTAGATGTATTTGTTTGACTTTTCCTTTGCACAGCTTAAAAGATATTGTAATCAAAATTTAAGTAATAATTTTGACAATATACTGACGTTTGTAAATGCCACATTTTTTTTGCAACTCGATTTACCTTTAAAACTACTAGTTTTTCGAATATTAACCATATAATAAAAAAGTCGTACAATTACACGTAGAATTAAAAAATGCATTCAATTACAGGGTAGAACCTGCGAGGGGAATTATCATGTCAGTTCAACAGTCCTTGAAGGATCTCCTGGATGAAGTAATAGAGTTCGATTAAAAAGTATGTTTTTCGAATATTCGAATATTATCTTCATTTAGTTTGACACTTTAGTATACTTAAAGAACTTGCATTTTATGTATTTTGTTACCTTCCCTTTCATTACGTCATGGTTCAACTCCATACGAATAATAATAAAAATAAATATCCACCCTGATGACGGTTGTTGAGTATGATTCTTTGTTTTCAGAAGAGAAAGATGCCCCGGTACGTGATTCAACAATACAATAGTCCTTTGCATTCACTCGCCCCAAACCAGGTCCATCTACACAGACCCACAGACTGGCCGGTCCGGAGCGAAAACAAGGAGGAAGGTGTAGAGTGTTATGTGTGTTATCAATTTTTTCTTCGCCCAAAGGTAGGGCCAAACTGCGGTAACACAAAAATTCGGTAACCGCAGTAACGGCAGTAGTGAGGTGTTTTTAATTAGCATATTTGGATTTTAAGACCTATGGGGCTCTACGGTTGGCACTTATACACTTATCGAGGCCACAAAGTCTAAATATATATGAAAAACAAGCTGACCATATGATTAGATAACAAAAATTACAATGATTTGACGTGTGACAGTCCTATTTTAGGGTTTTCTAAAGACAAACAAAAATTTTTCAATTTTGGAACTCCCATGATTGTATTAGCTGGCGATATTAAAATTGATATAATACGGAGGATAGTACCGCATAGCGTACACTCTCATGTTCAATTTGTGACATATTGTGCTATGTGGTATATAATTGCACGTTATATGTATAGTGTAATTTATTTAGATATTTACAAATATCTTCTTTCATCTCTACCTTACACTGAAAGTAAAAGTGAAATAGATAAATAGTAGAACTCTGGCTAAAACCCTACAGCATCTGAATTATTTATAATATGAGTAGTGCTTTTGTTAACTATTGTTTTAAGAAATTTTAATCGTTACAATACTAAACGAAATAAGTACCTGTGCTTGTTAGGAGTCCAGTTCCAAGCCAAGGCTGTAACGACTCGTATATTCTACTCTTTGATATGTGCTTCATTGACGACAGGATGACCTGCTTAAACAATATCGGGATCGCCAATTACTTTAACGGACTTCTTACCTCCACGTCGTCAGGGTGGGAAAGCCAGACAACCGCATGTATGGTATGCCAAAACTTAAACATTCGAGGATATGTCTTGAATAGCTGTCTAACATAGTTCCAAATGTCCGCTAAAAAAGATATTTATTGATTTAATATTAATCAAAGCGGGCTTTTACCCAGAAATACTTACATCATCGAAAAGTGGACAAAACCTCTATCAAATGAGCCTAATGAAAAGATGCGCTACCATTTAAAAAATTTCAATTGTTTTTCGTTACTCATTTGTTTTCTGAAATAAAAACAACTGAATGCTGCCTTATGTTAAGCACCTACTGACAATCAGTCGAGAGCTCATATTCATATAAAAAAACCTAACCTGAAATTCTCCCCAACCCATTAAGAACTTTTCGCAATTAAAAATATTAATACTTGTGCCAGAAACTCTTTTTCGCTGCATAAAACAAAAATGAAGCACATTTTGTCTAATAATAGTGAATCTCAATGCGATGTTTCTAATTTATTGTAAAATAAATAATGTGTACCCATCAACAATTTTTTAAATATGCCTACACGTTGCGTATATCGCCTATTGGAAATACTGAACCATCTGTGAGAGCTTTTACCTTTCTACTAGAGCATTATACAATATTAACTTTGACTGGGTGGTGTATATGTCTTGAAGGATTTAGCAATTCAAGATATGAATATGATTTACCAATTAGTTGATTTATGTGGGACCTAAATCTGGGATTTGACCCCGATAAGACCCAAGTTTTTTGTCTCAGATTTTTGCTGTAATTGGACTCTACTAATCAAGTACGCTATATCAATTAGTTCAAACTTCCTAAAATTTTGCCTCCGTTTGAAGCTAAGAAAGTAGATATGAATTTAGTATTTTGTAATAATAAATAAATGGATACATCCTTTATCTACGGAGGTTGTTTGATAAGTCTCCTGTTTTGAAATAAATAATGACTTGGGGTCCAAATATTGTATCACGCAACGTAACGGATATCCTTTCGCGAATCTCCATCGTAGACATCTTTTCCGAATAGAATAGTTATTTACATAAAAGTCGAGAGAATGAAAATTACTATTTTCCCTACATGCAAGAATAAAAAGAACAGCATAATAATAGTCGGTTAGATTCTACACGGAAATTACCTGGTGTAGCAAATAGAATTCCTCGAAACATGTCCATGCTGGTTGGTCCCGGTACATTGTTCAAAGGGGCGAAATGCTTTCTCAACTGGTAAATAAACCATATTAAATAAACCGTTAAAGCACTCGCCAGTATAATAAATAATATCATTTTGGTGCTAGACGAAACACGACTGAGTTACCATCACGTCGTAAAAATATAAATAACTTCCACATTGATAATAAAACTTTTGATTTTTTTTACGTAAAAAAGAAAAAAAATTGTTTATCAATTTAATGACCGGGTGATGAAATTTTATTTTTACATTACTAAACCATGATAACTGTGAATGATTACGATCCCATTCTGATTTGTTACTTAGGTTTTTGTGGAACACAATAATGTGCTGATTATCTTTCACAGGATAAGCATAACAAACATTCGAACAAAATTGTTTTATATACACCCTCGTATAAACCCTTAAAGAAACCAAAAGTGAATAAATTTACTGACCATTTCCTAAACGTGCGCCCAAGTCACAGGAACTTAGGTGTAGAGCTCCGGTTCCAAATGAAATTTTCCCAAAATTGACGCTTTCACTTCCAAGAAAGCAAACTTTTGACCTGAAGAAATACATTAACTTAGTGCCGGTAGATCACCAGCACTAAACGGATGACGATGTTTGCTATACGAGTATTATAATACTTATTTATTGGATAATTAGTGGATAATTATCCAATAAATAGAGGACGATACAACCTCCAAAAAGTGCACGAGGAAAGGAATACAGAATTATGTTTATTAGATTACCATTTTCCTTAAATTGAGGGAGGGTGGATACGGTGCCTCTTTTTAATTTATAATGATGCCATCTAGGTAGGTACATAGATTATCCAATAATCGTTGGAATGTGGCGGGTGCAGAGTGTAAGCCGAATGATAATACACGAAATTGAAACAACCGTCTTTCTGGTAGGGTGAAGGTAGTTATCGGATTACTGGTTTTTCGTTCAAGGGCACTTGCCAATAGCCCAACTTCAAATCTCGGGTACACCTTGCTTGGTTTGCTCGCATAAAAGGTAAAGGATATGCGTCTTTGACTGCCAGCTAATTAACCTGGAGATAATCAACACAGAAGCGGTATCTTCCGGATGATTTCTAAACTATTGAACTCCAGGGACTGTTAGACGGTTCTATGATTCACATGGTTATCTTTCTGGGGAATTGGTAAGATATGTTACTGCTTTAATATCCCTAATGTGTTTGTGTTGGCGCCCATGTAGTTTTTAGCAGCGCCCGTGTCAATTAAAACTGAAATAACGTTAATGAATGCAATTACTTCCATAAATAAACGGCGACCATGGTAGTTATTTGGCTGGATCGGTAGGTGTATTATGTGGATGCCCCGGGGTAAACTTATCTGTGGACGGATTGTATTTACGGTTGATACAGGGTTTTCGGCCAGGACGGTTGAGAATCCCTGTTATTCTCACTTAGTCCAGGCTAAATAGCTCTAAAATGATTTATTTTCAAAAAAATTAGTTACCGGGCGAAACCGGGTTTTTCAGGCAGGTGAAATGAATAGAAATTGGGAAAAAAAAATAAACAGCTGAATTTTTCCGCGGGTGAAATCCCTGGGGCCGAAAGGGGGGGAAAGTGGTGTTTTGCAAATTGTGGCAAAACCTAGGGCAAAACTATTAATTTTAGACGAAAATGTTAAACGTAAAAGTTATAGAGATTAAAAAAATGAGCAACTTTTGTATCCACACTATTTTCACATAACCTCCAATTTTCCTAGAAAAAACCGGAAAAACTGTTTTTTTTCGTTTTTTATTCTTATTCTAGCGAAAAAATGTCGTAGGGGTTTGAAATTTGAAACATAACTTGTTTTATGATAAAAAAGAAGATAATTTTTTGGGTCCGTAAAGTCGTACCGTTTCCAAGATCTCATGATTTCTGAAAAAAACCACCTCTTTTTCAAGGGGATGAAAAATCTATTTTCGTACAGAGGTGCGCGGGGTAGCAAAATTTTCGGGAAGACTTATATTTTAATAAACAAACATAAAAAGTATTATTCCTTTAGTAAAAATTCGAGAAAATCGCCAAAAACTGGAAAAACAGTTTTAAGATATATGTACCTACACGGTTTTTGACATGATAAATCAACATGTTGGATGTTAATATAGATTTTTTCGTAATCTGTCTTCTTGCTTCTCTTTAATGTTCGCTTAAATATTCTCTTTTGTTATCTTATGCTCAACTGTTTTAGTTATAACACCTTTATTATTTCTTTTTTCTGCATTTTTACCGTAATAAAAGCAATTCGAAATAAAATTGGATTATCTTGCTTCCTGGTTCCTGAACAATTCCTTTTTGTTCACTGAAGAACGGTGCAATCGTTAATTTTATTTTTTTATTTCCGCATAAATAATTAAACAGCATTTTATGCCTTTTACAACCCACACAACGCTCGAAATTTCATTCCTTAAAGTATATTGAAGTTTCTCCCTCAAATCTACCGTTACATCATCAACACAAAAGATGAAATTTTGTCGAAATTTAGCGTACTGGTCCGGAAGAGCTCCCGTAAATAGACGTTCGCATATAGGGTGGATGACACAAGCTTCGCTATCTGTATTTGAAAGAAATTTCATCTGTATATCTACGCACATTTTTTAAATGGTTAAATCCGTAGTATAGACGACCGGGTAATTAAAAAAGTAAGGCAATCTATTTAAATTAGGAGATTCCGTGCGACATAATTTTCTTCGTTTATTGAGTCATACTATTTTTATGTCAGCGATGAAATTAATAAATTGGCGGATATCAAGTATTTCATTATTTAATACGATCAAGGTCTCTCTTGTTACGACTCAATTTTTTGTGATAATTACGGCTGATTTTCTGTAACAGAATCGGTACCGTTTATTAGGAAAGTGTTTTGTTCACCCAAGTAAATTATATGTACGAGTCGCGGTTTCTACCGAAAAAAGAATCTCATTACTACCCCGTGTAGGCTATTAGACATGGAAAATTTCGCGCAAGCGTCGAAAATTAGTGGCACAAAAGGCTCTTCTATGTTTTAACGTAACAGAAACGACGTCGCGGCGTCGAAAACACCACGGAAAACACGAATTTTCGCGTCTGTCTCGGCGCGTTACAATATGCGACGCGTGCAAAGTGTGTAATTAATTCTTTCAAAATTAATGAAAAACTTTCACTTAGCTCCCCTCCCATCGCTCTTTCTCATTAATTATATTTTATGTAAATTTTGCTAAATGGAACGTGAGATTGGAAAAAGTTGGTTGCAAGTGATTTCAAGAAGAAATTGGTTCAGATTGCACTTCTGGAAATGTTGGTAAATACAAATTTTCTTTTTATTCTATGGTTTGGTTTACTCCACCGAGTCTGTACTTCTGTTGTAATAAGTCTACAGCGATCGCTGACAATTGATTTACTTGTTGCTTTTGACTTTCTAAGGAAAGTAATTGTCGATAGAGTACCCTAAATTTCTGCACGTTATTTTAAGGGCTATCGTGCTTTTTGGTCTATGAAAAATGTGAATCGTTTACGAGAGTTTACTTATTTCAATTTTGTTGGAGTTAGATTGCATGACTATTATATATTATTCGAAGCCTATCGCAGAAAATGAGACTACTTTATCACTCTGTTTAACTTTTCGTCGCTTATAGTATAATTTGTGCTACTTTAGAGTTTTCGCCTCGTAGAGGAGTTAGATAACGAATTTTAAGGAAGTGTGGAAATGAAAAATGTATGTGCGTTATTTTTGTGCGATGCGGAATTAGAATTTCACTTTTTTAACGCCCAGCAACAATGTAAACGTTTGACCAAATTTCAACAATTTGGTGATTGTTTTTACAGGATGAAAACTATTAAATTCCTCAATTTTAAAATATCACTACAAAATTTTCAATTCAATTTGATGTTACAATCACTTTTAGAAATCGAAGGAAACAAAATGTTCTCGATTCCTGTATACCTACCAAAGAACAAGAATCTCACTCGAAATGAAAACAATCCCAAAAAGGGCGACTAAAACTTCTAGTTTTAAATATGTATTTCAAAGGATTCGCCCAAGCCTCCGTGTGGCTGGGATATTTCAATGTATTCTTTACATATTATGATTTTTAAATTCGGCCAGCTGCTAACCGCGGAGATTTAGGTGTGGGTATACAAGAAAACGATTTACTGAAAACTTGTAAAAAAATAAATAATTTTGAGAGGAACTCGCCTTTGTGAGGCTATAAAGTATTTATTTTCAATAATTCATCATTTTGGTTTTCGTAAAGGTAACTGAAGTAGTCATCTAAATTAATGCTTTCGTTTGGGTACTGGCCTTAATCAAAATTTATTGGACATGATTTCGCATTAGCAAGGGGGGCTCGTTAATTTTCCCATTAATAAAGGTCATAGGAAATGTAATACTTGATTGATAAAGAATTTTTTCCGACTTTTGAAACTGCAAGAAAATAAATCAGCTTTTTAAGTTTGCAGTTATTAAAGTTGGCCATTAGTTTTAAAACACCCTGTTTTTGAAATTCAAATCAACGGAGCCATAGGTACAGGACGCTAAAGAAAAGAAGTGAAACATTTTGAAAAAGCTTGAGTAACTTGAGAGCCTTTGATGCCAGGGTATAGGGAAATGTAGTATAAAATATAGGGTGTTCTATTTAAAATAAGAAAGTTGCTATCCACATCCGGTAAAAAAATGATAATATTTTCATTCGATAGATCATGAAAAAGTGTGTTAGTATGCAAATTTTCAGATTTCAATTATATATAAACAATTTTGAATTCGTGCCACTTCAATGGATTTTCTTGATTAAAATTTAAAAAAAAAACTACAAATAAATTTAAAAAAAACTTCGAGCCCATCGGGAACCAGAACCGCTACAAATAAACCCATTTAAGCAGACACAAATTCGGAATAATCCATTCCTTCAGGAAGAAGCGGATGACTCAAATTAAACTACCAAAAAATGCCCAATCTGTTTTC